ATTTTCTTTTATTACTTTTGTATGTACCACCCACGTTTCGTAAATACGTTGACGAATAACAATAATAGGATTACTGAAAGGGCATTACGCAAGCGCTATCTTATACACACTTGCTTCTTCAATTACGGATCTTTATATCATATAGCCGACGTACTACAATTGAATACACAAATAACGAGATCGAGCAGCGAAATAGGAAGCAATTGTATAATTACTTCATTGAGCAAATGCATTATCGTAAAGTCTTCATTAGTTTTCCGGAAATAAGACGAGTAAAAATAGAGTGGAGCTCTCCAGCTAGCAGACGACATAAATTGTTTCATAGCAATTACATTTGCAAGCCCGGTTAAAATTGCGATAACAGTTTAAATTAACACGGTTCTTCCAAGTAAATACGATCTTTCGTTCTAAATCTATTCTGCTCTTATTCTCCAGCTGCTTTTGAAGATGACTTTCACAAGCGTGCCGTGACACTATAGGTGATGATTGGACCGATAACCAGCGTGCGGTACCTATTTACATGTAACTCGCGACTAGTTTACACAAAGTATTATCGCGTGTGCAACTCGAGAAGAGTCTCTCAGTGCGGTAGACGGTGGACCACACATAAGCGATTTGGCGCTGCCGATGCCCGCGATGTCTCCGTCGTGATATTTTTATACACTTGCTTGGCCATGCTCTTAATAGTCATTCTACGCTTTAGAAACTAAACCCTTACTTTTCCGCTATCCTGTGCTCGCGACTGCTCCACACCGCGCATTTCGAAATGCAGCGCAAAAGTTTGCAAAGATATTTTTCCAACCTTATAAACTGCAGTTGTCTCATAATAAAATTTATATAATTATTCTACGCGATAGAATTCATATTTGATATGCACACCTCGTGCTTTGTTGTGTTACACCAAACGTATTTTATCAAGTAGTAAAAATAAAAGATTGTCGCGGCGCTCCTTTATGTGTTACATCGATCTCCTAATTTTTAGACCGGTTTTTAATCTTGTATCTTTGGTTTGTATCTTTTGGCTAGAATAAAAATTTAACATTTTGTAAGCGCGCGGAAAAATTTTTTACATTTTATTAGTGAATAATGTAACACCACCGCGACTCCGGACATTGCACATTTTACATAATTAAGCGCTATAAACCTTACGATTTTTTAATCGTTTATTTTTGCATTATTAACTTCTAAGTAGGTATATATATCATTAGGCCGTAGATAAAACATTTTTCCGGGTTTCCAAACCCTGTTTTCGCATTTTATATTCGCGCTTTTTCATCGACGAACCCGCAAACCACTCTCTGGGCGACGCGAGCGCCTAAGCGCTTCCGTAACATATTCGCAGATTGATAAATTACTCCACGTGTTTAAGTTCGACCATGACGGGCAATAACTTAACATACGCTCTGATACCTCGCCTCTCCCGGTGTATCTTATGCACCGGCTGTCGCTTGCTCGCTCGCTCGTTTGCTCACTCGCACGCCGCGCGATTATTTTATTTTTATTACCGGATGAGAGAAGCGCACGAGATGCAACTGCAGGTGATCTCTTCTGATATACTTACACGGTGGTCAGCTGCACTGGATGATGATGCACTCGTTCATCATCGCAGCCGAAGAGTTCGCGGTACCGCTTCGCATTTTGACGATCGCGCACGTGAGAGCATTCATTCGCAGATTCTCGCTCGATGGTCCATGTGAATATCGTGAGGAGGTTGCGCGAGACACACCGGTCTTCTGCTGTTTGTCCGATAAATTTTCTCTTATCGCGCGTATATTTTACTCGTCGAAGAGGACGTAGCGAAGCAAAACGGGCATCCCGTTTTTATGTGTGAGTAATTTTGAAAAACGATTGGAATGTAGAGTTATAAAATGTAGATAGTCTAAATAGCTTCGTGTTCAAAACCAGATTTCACATAAATCCGACACACACATACACACACACACGAATGGAAAAAAATCTTCGCGACACTAGTGACGAAACTTTTGAATAATTGAAATCGTTATTTAATTCAACAATTTGCTTTAAGGTTGAAATTATATTTACTGTCAGAAATCAATATTTCGCCTTGTTATCGCGCAGTCAATTACTTCATATTCCTCATCGATCGTCTCGCGATACTATCACTTGGTTGACATTTTTTCAAAATATCAATGATTTACAAAGTATATGAAAAAGTATAAACCCCGATGAAAGATAGCGCGTAAGAACTGAAATTAATTTAACTTTAGAGAATTTAGAAATAATAACCCTCGTCAATATAATTCAATGATTGTAAAAGTAGTTCAGGGTCGAATTGCAAGATATATTCCTTTGGCTGTACTTTAGTTGCTATATTTAAAATAAAAATAATAAGACACAATAAATGAAAAATAAAATTTTTTTAAGAATTTCTATCTAAGCAAAGAGAAGAGAAAAAAAAATGTAAAAATTAAAAAATTTTACTGTATTTAGTCAAGATTCGCGCGCGCGTTTTTAGTTTTTTTTTTCTATTATAATTGATATTACTCTTGTTCTCTAATAACGCCGGCAACTTTTTTTTTTAGATTATTTTCTATAGACCGTTATATACAGTCCGTCACTGCAATCACTGTCTTCTTTTCGCGTCGACAATATCAAGAATCGAACTCACCGATATTAAAAACGGTTTTGATCTCTAAACGGGTGCGCGACCTTTAGGTCAGACTAATCGCTCTCTTTTCGCGGCCGCTTACCACCCCTTACGCGCGTGCATAACGTGCACGATAATAGATAAAATCTAAGAGAGACACCGTGTACACCGGGAACGGCGCGATAGTTGGCACTGACAGATCCAACTATTTCATTCACAGTCGTCGTCGTCGGGCTTGACCGCGCGAATCGTCGTCGTCGTCGTCGTCGGGCTTGACCGCGCGAATCGCCGTCGTGTCCGTGTGCGTGTATCACGCGCACGTGCACACGCGGACACGACGTGGATGAATGAACCGACGCACACACGAGATACGAAGCGTGCGGCGCGATTACGATGTAGGTGGTTACGAGCGAGAACGAGCGGGAGGATGTGTGACGGGGCTCTAAACTGGAGCCGAAAAGGCACGGATTCTACTACTGTCGTGACCGGTGCACAGGCACCGCACTGTGCACGTGTGTGTATGCGTAGGTGAACACTTCTCACGCGTCAATGCGTAAATTGGGAAAAAGTCATTTGTACCCGCAATTCGTAAATTTGCAAAAATTTCCGGCTATCTGTGAATTACTTGCACGTTTTGATGAAAGAAAAATATCATGAATTTAATATGCAGTTGAACGTAAAGAATGTGATGCAAAATTGAAATATAAATTAATATATTGTATATTTATTAAAAATGTATAAAGTTATTTAATTCCTCGTGGATGTAATATATTTCTAATTATTTGGTTTCTTACCATGCAGTGTATAATTGTGTATAATTTATGTAAGAAAATAATTAAATGAAATATAATTCGCATCAATTATCCATTCAGAAAAGACTTTATTATTTCGTACAAACGTAACAAATTGTTGTGCTAGAATTTTTACTATTTATATATAGTACATTATAAATTTTTTTATACGGTGCCCTTACTTCAGACTTTCATAGTCTTCCATCGTCATTGTATGTGCATTGTAGGCACTAGAAAATGTTAATAAAGTTCAGTATTTTATTTTCTGTACGGAGAATTTTTCAATAAATCAGTTTAATTGATTTCCATATTTTATATGTATATGAGCATCAATAAAACATTGTAATTAATTTATTGCACAGATATCACACTTTCAATTTCATTGCAAGTAAACGAATTATTTCTACCTAATATTATTTAATATATAAAATTGTTTAATAGTAAAAACACTTAACAATACTATAACAAAAAACATTCATTTACTTGGTACTTCATCTTTTTCAGTGACACTTAAAAGGAGAAAAGTGTGACATATATTTATCTCATAAATACTATTTTTATATTATTGTTTAAGACTCTATTAAACATGTTCCTAAATTAATAATAATAATTCTAATAAATATAAAATACTGTAACAATTGTTCTTTTTTTATGTTTTTTTCTTTGAAAAAATATGAAACATAAGATGCACATTGTCTAATTACGTTTGTACATGAATTAATTATAATATAAATTTTTTCTTAATTCTTTTAATTACAAGTTAGCTTAACTCTTTCAGGATAGATTTTGAAGACTCAAAATTATCATTCTCAAATGTTCAAATAAATAAATGTACGAAAATATATTTAAAATTAAAAATAGATAGAATAAAAATACTTTAAAAACAAAATTAAATATTTTATTTATATTCATTAAGAAAAAAATTTAATGATTTCAAACTATTTCGATTTTATTTCATATTTCCGTTACTTAACATTAGTGTCAGTTTTGATTTGGAGTGTCTTGTCATCACAGTTCTTAGACCTCTCGATTATTATTAGGCTACTTCTTTTTATCTTGGTAGAGTATATTTTTCATTGATATATAGATCGCCCAAATAAATTATAGACTAACATTCTTTTCTCATGTTTTTGTATTATCGACAACTATTCATGTAGTCTATATTTCATTTGGACGACCATCCATGTACATGTATATGTATATATATGTGTACGCGTACATTTTTTTATAATTTAATAAATTGTTTTACTAAAATTTAATTATTTTACATAAAAATCCCACCCTGAAAGAGCTAAATATATATACTCAAAAAATTTGTAGCAAAAGGATTTAAAAATGCAGAGCGTAGAAAAATTTATAAAAATCTGAATTTGAGTGTAACATTTTAATTTATTCCAGTATTATATCGAATCTGATATAAGATGTATAAAGTTCCATAAAAGCAGTTATATAAAAAATAATACAAAATACTAATTTATTATTTAATTAGTACATAGATTAATATTGTTATATGCATTTATTGGGTTTTTTTACAATCAAATAAAGTTATATATTATAGCTCAATGTATAGGCATTTTTTAAAGAAAACGATTAAGCTTAAAAAAATATTATATGACAATACTTTTGAATATATATATAGCATAAAATATAGGAATATATGCATTTATTTACAATTGGCTCATGGTATATATTAACATACATACCACACTTTTATTTCAAGATTTGTCGTTATTTGTTTATTTTAATTTTCGTGATTTTGTTAGAACGTAATTTGACAAAGTGGTATCAATATTATTAATACTGCATCTTTCTTTCTTGCGTCCAATATAGTTCTAATAAATATATACTTAATTTAATTTGTACTCTTAACATACTCTCTATACAAAGAGATGTCAAGTAATTTTGTATCTAGTTTTATTTCAAAAGTAAAACTCACTGTAATGAAAGTGTCACTGATAATCGATATCGAATCACAATCGACGCTGCGGCATTGCAAACATTGTAAGTTCAAATCAAACTTCTTACCGTATTCACTTTTTAAAAATGGTTTTGAAGACTATAACCTGTAAGATTACGAAAAATTCAGAGTATTGCACGAATTTTCGGACCAATCAATCTCCTACATCAGAATCGCCGTCGCCTATAGCATAAAGAATATGGAAAGCAATTCCGAGAAGTGCAGTTCCTATAAGATCACCAGCCGCTGTTAAGTATGGTATTGCGGAACTGTCTGGGTCCATACCTCGCGTCCACATCCAAACAACCATCATTTGTGCAATGTACAACAATAAAACGACCTAGAAATCAAATGGAGCAAATTTGATTCTAATTTTATTTTTAAATTATAAAGATAAATTGTAAGAGTTACGTCAATGAATATAAATATAGATTAATCTTTATCATACCTGTAACATTGCAGCAATCAAATATATCGTAATAAATATAGGAGTAAACGAGGTATGTCCTGCTTGAAGGTAACTAATGGTATAACTAAAGATCAAATGTCCCGGTATCACCATCATTAGTAATACTCTAGCCGTCCTCGCGTGTCCTCCTGTGATGAATATTTTTTGTTAAATTCGCAATAATAAATTTTATACAAATCTTTACATAAACTTACCTTTAGCGAAAAACGCATGGAATGGACTAATGCAAACGTTGAGAGTTCCTTGAACACCCGTATTGTAATCTTTATGCAAAGACGTCGATATTCTACTGGCCTGAACAGCGACCAAGTTTCCCCCAACGCCATTAATTACTAATTGAAAAACCGCTATGCCCTTGTAACTGGATATGGTATAGTCCAAAATCAGTCCACCAAGACTGAAATTAATATTATTCGTTAAGTGTTCGTCCAATGAAATCTTGCATCAAATACACAAAAATATTCACCTGCTGATTAACATTGCGGATATCACAGGCGTCCAGCCATAATCCAATACTTCCTTAGTAAATGGATTTCTAGCTGCTATGTAACCCCATATGGGAGTTACAAATACACAAAATGCTATTAATGTTGGGGCTATCCATGGAGCATAACCTGCAAAAATACAGATTTATTAATATTCAAGTATAGCAGAAGCATGAAAAGATATAAATTGTTTTATAGTTTATACCTATTGCATTGTATAATAAAGAAGCGATCCAGGATAAAAGAGCTAAAGTAGTTAAATCCCCTAAAGAGGCCGCGATTGGGGTGGCAACGTTGTCAGGATTGATATTCATTTGTCGTGACAGTAGTATGACCGCAACCATCACGAGGCCAAGTAGAAAGCTGGCTACGGAAGCGGTGACCAAGGCACTGGCGCACAGTAAGAGTCCGTGATGTATGTCAAAGTGAGCCTCCGGAACCCAACCAAGGATAACAGCAGCCAAGGATGCCAGCAAGCCTACCACCATAGCTTGACACTGGATTAAGGCTAAATTACCAACAATTAACGTCCATTGCTGTTTTTTTGTATCCATTTGTCCTAAATTAGCCTGAGTCGACAGCCTAGAGGCCAATGTCATCTCCAAATTTCCCTTCAAGCCCAATAATGCAGGAACTAATATGTATACCTCGGATACCACCTGGTACACTGGCCAATGCTGAAATACAATATAACATTCATGAGATCAGATTTGTCATTCTTGAAATCTTATTAATAGATTAAACTAAAAATTTATAA